TGTTTGTATACATCGTTGTTAGATGTAAAGTTTATTCAAACTCTATTTAATCTGTTTCATTTAGTCAAAGTCTGACTAACTAAATCTCAAGTAACTAAGAAGAAAAGCAACTAATCAATCAATTCACTATTACGAACAATCTAGTTTTGTCCTTTAAATCTCGGCAAATGTCATGGCGCTGCCAGCAGTTCCTGTGAACGAAGACAGGACTGACCTGTTGGGTATTCCCCCTTTTTGGGCGAAACCTTCGATTAACCCCCCATTCCTTTGGGAATCTTGGATTGGACAGTTCTTCCTGGCAGTGGGGTTAAAAGATAACCTGAACCCTCAGGAGTTATTAGCAGAACCCACGGAGGTCATCGACGAACCACCTCCAAAAGCTGAGACCATAGGAGCAACGGAAACAGCTGCGGAGGCCGATGCACGCCTCCTCAGAGATCAGGCAGCAGTTCGTCGCATGGCCGAATACAATGCCGAGCGCAGAAGAAAAGGCCCCAGAATAGGCTTAAACTGGTTCCATCACGAAGCAGAAGCCCGACTGAAGTCACGGCTGTTTTTCGCTCTAGGAAACGAAGGGAAACGACGTTTCGCGGATTCCTACCCAAATACGGACATCAGTGTCACTCCTTTCCGTGATTTCCACAAAGCCTGCGAAACACTATTCAAGATAGAACGCGATTATACTGTCGAGCGCATTAAACTGTACAACAATATCTTTATGTTGGAAAATGACACCTTTTCTTCAATCTACGCTCGCCTCAGTGCTCAAATTGCCTTGTGTAATTGGCCACGTGCTCAAGAGAGGGATACCCTGAAAGATCTTTTCATAGGACGAATTCGTGATGTGGATGTGCAACAGCAGCTGATTAAGGCAAAAGCAGATTTAGACGATACGTTCCAACTCGCTCTAGAATGCGAAAAAGGGGCTAGTACATCGGCCCAGTTCCAAAAACTACTCCCACATAACCAAGTCACTGGAAATATCAAGATAAAACAAGAACCCTTTTTCTCAATACAGTCATCTAGAGGAAAGCGGAATACTCCTCAGAACAACTCTAATCGACCAAATATACAAAGTAACAAAGGCAACAAAGCATGCTATTTCTGTGGCAACCCTTTTAGCCCGGAACACAGAAAGTCGTGTCCCGCTCGAGAGGTTACCTGCAATCTTTGCAAAAAACGAGGTCATTTTGCTAAATGCTGTAACTCGTCAAGACGTCGCGTCAATTTGGTCGATGATAGTGAGGAAGTGACTAACCCCTCAATTGACTGTAACTTCATTGATGCAGACTATGATAGCGAACCCGAATACAGTGTGCTACAACTAGAAAGTGCTGTTAGGATTGATAGCGTTGAGCTTCTCAGATCAAACAAAGGGAAACCGAGAAGCCCCAGTATCCAGCTGCGTACGGGATCGAGCTTTTTCTACTCAACCATCGACACTGGAAGTCCTGTCTCATTCAATAATAAACGGACTTGCGATTTGATATTACATCGCAACCCGTCGTTCAAATTTCGAGACGTAGCACGGAATCCTATAGACACTCTGTATGTTGATTACAATAAAAAACCAATCCGCCTTCTCGGCTCAGTTTGTCTACCGATCTCGTCTAGTGGTTGGAGAGTGGAAGAGGCTTGTTTCCTTGTCTCGGAGAACAGAACAAGAAACCTGTTGGGTTTGGACTTACAAGACCAATTGGGAATAGTGACCACCCAACTGAAGGCAGAACACGTTCAGCAACTTGAGGTTCTGAACCAGGATCCTGTCTCTGATTATTGGAGCTCTTTCTTCGCTAAAAAATACGCGCACATTTTTAATCGATTAGGAAGATCAAAGAACCACAAAGTGTTTACAAACTTCAAGTATCCACTGGTACAACGTCAGGTTAAGGGACGTAAAGTCCCAATTCACATCCAGGACAGAGTCGCTAACGAAATCAAACAGTTGGTAAAACAAGGTCACATTGAGAAACTGGACAAATGCACAACTGACTACTTCATAGCACCCATTGTACTGACTGCCAAGAAGAACGGCTCGATAAAACTTGCTTTAAATGCTAAACCGATGAATGCGCAAATCTAGAAGAACAAGTACCAGATGCCAAATATTCACGAGCTTGTTGATTCTGTGGCTCAAATAATCACTAAAGATGTACCAGGCACCGTTTGGTTCACCTCGTTAGACTTGAAATATGCTTTCAGCCAGCTGCCATTGTCTTCAGCCACCAGCAGTCATTGTAATTTCAATATTTTATGCGGAGATGCTACGGGAATCTATCGGTTTAAGACAGGGTTCTATGGGTTGACCGACATGCCAACCGAGTTTCAGAAGGCGATGGATTGTACCTTACAAGGATTAGAAGGTGTGGTTTGCTACCTCGACGACATTCTAGTAGTCACGAAAGGAGACGTTCAAGTACATAATGACTTGGTTGAAAGAGTGATGCAGCGACTCGATGCAGAAGGCTGGGCATTGAAACTCAGTAAGTGCGAGTTCTCAGTAAATCAATTAACATGGCTAGGTTATGTCATAAATGAGCACGGGTACTGCCCGAAATTTTCAAAGATTGACGCGATTCGATCACTTAAACCTCCCAAAACCTTAAAGCAGCTCCGCTCGTTTATGGGGACGTTAAATCACTTACAACGATTCATACCTGATCTACACACATATACCGTTCATTTCCGAGAATCTCTAAAGGCATGTAACAAACAGTCTTTTCGGTGGGGGGAGGAACAAGATAACGCCTTCAAGAGTATCATAAATATGTTGGCTAATATTCCCAATTTATTCCATTATGACTCT